TCAGTGATTTAAACAAATAATAGCCTGGGCTATTAATTGAAGTTTTATGGTATGTGAAAATGTGTTTAAAAGCCTCCACTCCTCTTAAAAAGATTTGGGTCTTGATCAGAGAGGTGAAAATAGGTAAAATCAGGTTTGTACATCTCAAGCTCCTCTCTTACTTCATGGATCAGGGCCGGATGAACCCTTAGGGCACCCTGTAGACGATGTATGTTCCCCATCATCTACAGGTCTCCACTAAAGGAAAACTGTTTCATTACAACTGAGATTGAGCACAGGGTTTCAAAGTTTTTGCAGCAAATGTACTTAATTGTACTTTGACACAGTGAAGCTGGAGCTTTGGGCACTCCTCCATAGGACTTCTTTTTATTTGATGGCTTTAAAAATGATTTATTTATGTGATTATTTCGTAGTTTGAGGATATTCATTTATACATTTTTTTATGGCGAGTGTCTCATATCTGCAGCTCAGAGAGGTTGGAAAAAAAAGGGGAAACAAGTGTTGATTACCAAGAGATTCCCGGTCTCAGATTTTAACATAACAGTATAACATATTTCCTTAAATGGTCTGTATGTTTTTGAAGAGAAGTGGACTATACAAAGGAAAACCGCTGTGAGGTATTTGGGGGCTGTAAACTGATGCAGGAAGTTTATCAGATGAATGATAAACATCGACCCGTCAATCAAACCAGGTCAGAGTCGAGCTGGCAGCGTGGGCTGAAAAAACACACACACACAACATACCTGATAGTGATGATGCTGCAGTTTGGACCGACCTGAGTCACAACACAACTGTAAACCAGGTCACCGTCTGCGACATGCTCGCATCCTGCATCACTTGATGCTGCTGAAGCAACTTAGCAAATCTAAAACTTCCAAATGAGGTAAAGAAAGAGGGGACAACTGAGAGACCCAGGGACCCCAAAATATTGTCATGTTGGATTGCTGAAAAGTTTCTCCTGTTGCATCAGACATATAACATTAAAGCAACTGTGATGCAGAATCTATTGTAACTTGAGGTCATGATGTGACTCAGACCAGTCTACCACCTTTTTCCTTTTATCTCTGCTCAGGTTCACTTCAAACTGATATGCCCCCTTTTAGCTTGTTAGTATTGGACGTTTCTCTGATTGACCGATTACATCACAGACCAAACTATCAACCAACAAGTTAGTTATGGTTAGCTAGTGACAGCTAGTACATTTCATCCATCCAAAAATGTACGGATCTGGATGTTTGCCATGTTGTTACCGGCTTATTCTCCCACTATGCATTTAATGCAACTTCTGAGTCAAAGCCTGGGGCACAGAGCACCTTGTGCTTGGGTTTGGGTTTGTGTCGGACTGACCATACATTCCTATACATGTAGGAGTAATTAGACTCCCAGTTGCATTATCTGGGTGTGTTAGTCCGACTTTTAGAAATTTGATTCAGTACGATTTCAGTCGGACTAACATGTTTAGGCCTGCGTGTATTTTAAAAGTCTGGTTTTAGTCAGACTAACATAAAAAAAATCAATTTTCTCTATACAAATGTACTGAGTGACTTTTCTCTGTACAGCCTATTTGAGACAAAGATGCAAAAATAAATGACCTTTATGGCAAGACAATATTTCAACAGCACATTTTGGGAACAAGGCAATTCAAGGTGATTTACATAGTGTAGCGGGAGGTCAGAAATGTATTTTGGCCTTAAACCATTTAGTGCTGTGTAAACCAATGGTAGTATTTTGAAGTCGAATTGTTGACAGACAGGAAGCCAGTGTAAAGGACTGAGAACTGGTCTGATGTGATCCACTTTCTTAGTCTTAGTGAGGACTCAAGCAGCAGCAGCGTTCTGAATCTGCTGCAGCTATCTGATGGATCTTTAAGGGAGACCCTTAAAGACACTGTGACAGTAGCCAAGTCTACTGAAGATAAATGCATGGACGGGTTTTTCCAGATCCTGCTGAGACATACATCCTTTAATCCTTGATATGTTCTTATGGTGACAGTAGGCTGACTTTGTAAATGTCTTAATGTGTCCATTGAAATTTAGGTCCATGCCTACACCCAGATTTCTGGCTTGGTCTGTGTTTTTTAACATTGCCTCATTAATACCTCAGTCTTTTCTTTCTTTAATTCAAGAAAATGTGACACATCCAGTCATTGATTTGTTTCATGCATTCAGTCAGAACTTGAAGCATGTAAACACTTAACACACAAATATGAATTTATCACATCCACCCTCTGAATTGGCATATCCTGGTTACAGTATCTTGACTACTGCTTCTGTCTGCATGATGCATTTATATCTGGACATCAACAGACAGAAAACAAAGTATTTCACCCGCTTTGAATGTTGTCAGCCCACTAAATGGTTGTTATCAGTTGCTATTGGGAGCATAGATTTGAGGTGGAATGGCTCTACTCTAGCTCCATTGTTTACATTTACTGTTAGGCAGCAACCTGTGGTGGCTTTAGTAATTTGGGAGCAACAGAGGAAATCAGGTGATGTAGATAAAGAGTGACAGTCCACATTGGGAGGAGGTCAGGGTGGATGCACGGATCAAACAAATACAGGAGTTTCACCAAGGAGACTGCTGTTCCTATCCCGTGTGAAAACAAAAGTCAGAGTTAGGCTATTTTAACTGACGTGTCGATTAATTTACATAATGTACTTAAAGGAGCTATAACTAAGAAATCTAAAGCAAATAGTCATAAAATCCTCCTAATATGTCACAGAGACGAAGGAATAATGTTCATATAACATACTGATCTCACCGATAACAATAGTACAGCCAGAATATTTGCATCTAAAAAATTTTTTTACAGTCTGCAAATCATGTTTATGTTTTGAATTTGTGTTTTGGCCTGTTGCGCCACCCACCGCCGTCTACCAGTCACGCGGTCAGTAGAATCTCAGCATCAGTTACAGTTACGACTGAGCTACAGCAGCACAGCAAGCAGCGTTAGCAGTGTCCCGGTACATAGCATTAGCAGCCAGCTCCTCCTCAGCTGTATCCTGGCAGCAGTGTTAGCAGCAGAGAAGCCGGACGATCAAGACGATCAAGGATGCGGCGACGCGGCCCTGCCACAGCAGCTGCCCGTGGGCAAACAAATCACTCTCCAGCATGCCGCTGTCCAGCAACCTCGAATCTGTAGGGGAGGGGGGGTGGACACGACTCGAGGCAGTATTTTGAATTTGAGTGCAGTAACCGTTTTGGCCACATTCTTACATACAGCGCCTTTAACTTACATCATGTATGTAACGTACATAACTATGTTACATGTAGGAATGTTTTTCTGCCCCCAGTCCTGATCCGAGTCATTTAATGATGAGTATCTGCTGATACTGAGTCCTGACCTGATACTTTTAGCATTCTGGATGATAGGCTGCAGCGTGCACACTTTAACTACATTGAAGTTATTCAAATCAAATGTATAGGCTTGACAACTGCTCTGCAATGCATTAAGAAAAAAATACTAGCATCCAAGCTGTTCCTCATTGTTTATTTATTCATTCGTTTATTTTACAAAATAATTAAGTAGTTATAAAAAAACTATCCCTCTTTTTAATCTTTTTGGCCTTGTTGCTGTCTCGAGGGAATGTCTCTGTCTCTTAAAGAGACTTTTCTCCAGTGTTTGTTGTGTCAGTGGAGCCTTTGCATGAGTAAGCTGAATGAATTTTGTTCCACTTAGTGTTTATTTTCATTGTCTGTACATCTTTTGCGTGGATTAGGCCACATTAATGACTTACTTTTATTGGCTTTTTGCTTCCAGGCTGTTGCTGCACTTTGCAATGGCGTGGTGAATGCGGTCATCCTTGGTTCCGCACCGTGTGCCATAAAAGCTAGATTCTCTCACAGTGAGCTGAGATGAAAGGAGTGTACATGATTTTTGTAAAAAACACAAATTAACAGTCTCATACTGCATTTTTGTTGTCGGTTATGGCGTGTGGTGTTTCGACGTAAGCGTAGTTCATCCCCTGTTCTTAAGCCCAGTTTGGTCCTGTGATCTGATACAAAATGAAACCGTTTAAGAACTTTGGAGATTAAAGTTGCAGTTGTTGTGAACTGGCAGATCTGAGCTTGACTCAAGATGGCTGGTGTCACCTGCAACTCAGATGGTCGAATTGCCAGCAACTTGTTTTTGCAACTGTAGCCAGTATCTCACTATCACTCTCCTCAGTCATACTTTAAAGAAGCTACAAATTATATTCAGCCACTAAATAAGCCTGAAAAGCTGGAATTCAGAATTGAAATACAGGTAATTGTTGCATAGAGATAATACACCATCTCATTTTGTTGGATTGGTGTGAACCAGCAGGTTTTTAGAATGTTGCAGAACAGTGTATTGCAAGTAGTTATTAGTTTCAACTCATCTCATTGCAAATCTTTGGTCTGAACTGGGCTTTACACACATGTGGGAGCTCAGTGGAGTGGAGGAAAGAAAGACAACAGTAGAGCCGGAGATAGCAGCACTGACAACTGACAACTGCCATTTAATCAATCAATCAATCAATCAATCAATCAATCAATCAATCAATTTTATTTATAAAGCCCAATATCACAAATCACAATTAGCATCACAGGGCTTTACAGCATACGACATCCCTCTGTCCTTATGACCCTCGCAGCGGATAAGGAAAAACTCCCAAAAAAAACCCTTTAACGGGGAAAAAAAACGGTAGAAACCTCAGGAAGAGCAACTGAGGAGGGATCCCTCTTCCAGGATGGACAGACGTGCAGTAGATGTCGTACAGAACAGATCAGCATAACAAATTAACAGTAATCCACATGACACAATGAGACAGAATGAGACAGAGAGAGAGAGAGAGAGAGAGAGAGAGAGAGAGAGAGAGAGAGATGCAGGTAATGACAGTAGGTTACAACAACATTATTGAAAGTAATAATAGTATAGTTATAGTTCTGGCTACTGTGGTACAATATGTTGAAAGTCTGTATTAATATCTGGCAGTGTACATGTGTGACAATAGTCATATGTGTATAATAACAGTAGAAGTATGACTGATGATAACAGCAGCAGCAGCAGCAGATAACATTTGAAAGGAGTGACTATTTCCATTTTGCATATATTTTGTAAAATTTTCTCTTCACCTACAACTCCTTAAACAGTTTGCTCAGTTATGAGCTTGAGAATTTTCAATTTACTTTCACTTTTAATTTCACATTATCAAAAGAGGCAAAAACTATGTGGACATCAGAAATTTCTCTACATATGTGATAGTGTAACGTGCTGGTGTCACAATGTTCATTAATGTGCTGCTCTAAGAGCCTCCACTCTTCTGGTTTCAGTCTTTCCACCAGATATTGAACCAGCTGCAGAGATTTGCTCCCATTTAGACACAAGAGCATCACTGATGAGATCTTGAAATCAGGCCTCTGTGTAGACCTGTCACCAAACTATTTCTTTTTGGAGCCAACTTTGTCATGTTCAAACAAAAGAAACTAACACAAACTGCTGACACAAAGATGGAAGAACATTAGTGTCTAAAATATTATTGTAGGTCATGTTATTATCTTGACTCAAACAAACCAAACAGAGCGAAGGCTTTGGTATGGCAACCTGGTATGGCAACCCGGTCTGCCAACGTTTTCTAAGAAAGTTTCCCAACAAAGTTTCCCGATGATGATGTTAGTCAGCTTTTTTGTGCACATATACATAACGTAAAGTTGGTTAGTTATGGTGGTTTTAAGGTAAGGCTTCACGCTGTGGAAGACAAGATGACCTAGAAAATCTGCTGCAACTTTTTTGTGCAGACTATTTGAACCACTGCACCCACTGTGAAAGTGGGTCGACCATCAGGCCTTGTCATGCAGTCAGGTCTGTGTGGTTTAGAGGGGAGGATCAAAGTCGCATAGATAGGGAAAGAAAAAAAATGAAGATGGTGACATCATCAGAGGAAGTGATGCTGATGAGGATAAATGTCAGAGCTGAACCCGACAACCAGCAGAACACCAGCAGACAAGGAGAGCAACACCTGTTCCTCCACAAACACCAGCAGAGGACACAGTTTAGGTCTGTACATCAGCAAGTACCATCTGACCTCCAGATTACAGCTCCTGGCCAGAACCTCCAGCAGAGCCTGAGGACCCTGAAGAGCAAGACACAGTGAAGACTGAAAGATCTGCAAAGAGACAAAAGTCCAAAAAGAACTAAAAAGGACAACAAAGACAATCAAAGCATAAGAGTCCAAACCGTCAGCATGTTTTTGACATCAAACTTCTCCAAAGTGAAGGTAAGAGTAGCTGGATTCTTCTTCCATTATATAATTTAAATCCATGCAAATCATTTTGTGTTCAGGATGACATCTGAAATTTTCAAAGCCAGAAATTTCAGTGCAAACAAATAAATTAGACAGTATGAAATGGATAATTGCATGAATAAGAAAATATAAACATGAGCCAATAAACTGTTAAATTAATTTTTAAAATTCAACTCAGTATGAAATGTTGTTTGATAGTTTTTAATTTTCATAGTAACAGTGTTCATTTTTAAATTAAAGATGCTGCATGGGGGCATGTTTGCTTAAGCCCTTCAAATGATGTTAATTATTTTGTTTTTATTAGTTCAATCAAATCTATTTAATCATTATTTTCAAAATGCATATTGGGGGCATTTTATGCATTTACTAGAGAATAGAGAATAGAGAGATGACAAGAATCAAGGGAACAACATGGTACAAACTGTTTGATTTTATTAAGTATTTGATTATGTTATTATTATATTATGTTATTATATTTTATGTTTATGTTTTCCCATGTTGACCATTATGCGTTCAAAAAAGAAATGTGAAATGCTGAAAAAGGTTTAATAGCTTTGACATGTTATTTCTTACATTTTACATGCAATGTAATAAACAGATATTAAACTGTAAACTATGCCTGAAGGTTAATTTCTTGTCCTCTTCCTCAGGCTGTCTGTGTGGTGGCGATGGTCATGATGATGATGATGAAGGAAGCGGCAGCAAAACCAGCAGGTCATTCAAAACACTCAGTGAAGACACACAAGACGTCCTCTGATGGTGCAACGGTGGAAACGGTCCCCCTGCAGCTTGACCCCAACGCTTTGACTGCCTCCAAAAACATCAGGCCCCTGCAGAACTCCTCCATCTCCCCGTGGATATACAAGTATGGAAACACATACACACCAACACACACCTTGTTAAAACAAACACACATAGAAAACCCCACCATTTGTAAGCTAAAACTTAATTGGTCTTTAATAAGAGAATTTAAAAATAAAGTGATCTTTACACTTTTTTGTCCCTACTCTCTCTCTCCATCTTCAGCATCACCAGTGACGACTCTCTGTTCCCTCCGGTGTTGTCAGAGGCTCGCTGTTTGCTGCGCGGCTGTCTGGACTCAGAGGGCCAGGAAGACCTGAACCTTGAGTCCAGACCCATCATGCACCAGGTCCTGCTGCTGCGCCGTGTCAAACCGACAGGGGCGGAGCACAGTTACCACTACAGGCTGGAGACCCGCCTCATCGCTGTGGGCTGCACCTGCATCCGACCCATTGTCCAACACCAAGACTGAAGGACATCAGAGCTTCTGTATTGAAGAAAAGAATCAAAGTATAACTATTACTTTCTATCTCCTAATTATGAATTTATACATAAGAATTAAGAGATAGAAACTCATAGTTCACCCAGTAGCTCAAGTCAAATATTTGTACCTCTCATAATTATGACAAACTGTGTCATATCATAGTATACAATTATTATCACATACTAATAATACCTTTATTTTTACAGTACAACAACAAAAGTTACTAAATGCTTTCCCATAGATTCCAATTGCATAAATCAGAGTGGAAGATATGGATGAACAATAATAATTGATTGGGGATGTAATAAAAGAGTGGATTATATTTCCAAGTGCTTGGTAGATTTTAATCCTAAGAAGTGAAAGCTATAGTGTGAGTGAAGGAAGAGTTTATGATTCAAGACTGTGTAACAATAACTTCATTGGAAGAAAAGTTATATCTGGGAGTCATCTGCATAGAAACGGGAACTGATTGTCATGCTCTGAAATATTGAACCTAAGCCTAATATGTATATATACTGTGGCTGGAGGATGATAGGACAGAGAATAATAAAAGGACCAAGTACATATCCTTCAATATGATGATTTTAAGTCACAAGTATCTGATCTTCTGAAGTAATTATTTACAGCTTTTTACCAGTGTATTCAGTTTGATTTGATGTAAGGTGAAAGTCTTCTTTTGAACATTTCTGTGTGTTGCCTACATGCTGCTCTGTGATGTGCCAGTTGTGGAATTAATCTGCCTCTTTCTTCCCCATTAATTTCTTTTCAATTTCTCTTTTTTTGTTTACATTTTTTTATTTGTCTCAAAACACAAAACTGGAGGAACTAGACAACTACACTCTGGAGCTGAAGTTTAACAGCAAGCAGATTATTAGTGGGTGTGTTTCATATATTATGTTCTATTTATAGCTTAAGTTTATTTAAATAACTATTTAAAATGTTTTTCAGCAGGTATTTATTGGTGATGTTATATTAATATTAATGTATTTATTCTAAGGCAGAATGTGGTACTGATTCAATAAAAAAAACTGAAAAAAGAAGCAAAGTGTCTTTGTTTTATTCTTGAATTTAAAATATAATGTGATTTCTGTAAATTGTCATCATCATCATCATCATCGTCATCATCATCATCATCATCTCACCCTGACTCCTTTACATTGTCGTTGCCAGGGAAACACGCACAAGCAAACACACCACTGCAGCTGTAAACACTGTACACAATCGATTATCAGTTATTCACCAGTAAAATTCACACATCCGTATTAGCAGGGGGTTGGTATAATGATTGTTGAGCAGGGGGAAGTATCCTGTATTATGGCTAATGTAAGCCACATGAGCTACCTAGCTGTTTGTGGTCAATGTAAAATATTGTTCACTAGCATCAAAATTCAGCAGGATTCTCATTGTGCCAGTTGTCTTTTCATTCCAGTTTACACAGCAACAAATAACAGGAGTGTAGCTTTAAATGGTAGCATAAATGCTAGAATGCTAATTTTAGAGCACAGATTTTTTTCTTTACTCGTCTCAATCCAACATGCATTTTGACTCGAACTCTTCTTAGTTTGGTGAGTGTTTGATTTTGAACTTGTGTCTGTATTTTCTATGTTCTACGTGGCACTCTCTGTGTCAGGGATGGATTGACTTGGACTCATCTCAGTCTCTTGAGTGTATTCACTTGGACTTGTTTTGGTTTTGTGGACGTTTTTTCAACCAGACTTGTCAGACTCTAATTGGCGTTCTGGCTCCGGCTCTGGCTTGTCTCGGTGAAAGTTTCCACCTCACCTTCTCTTGTTTTGGCGGGGGGTTTCATTCGGACTTCATGGTCTCCTGGGTGTTTTGACTCATCTCTGTCTTATCAGCATTTTGACTTGGACTCTCAGTCTCAGACACTAATCTCACCTATAACAGTCTTTGTTCTTTTCATCTGAAGTCCAGTTGACGTCTTTTTACCTCTCCTGGTTTTGGTCATAGTTTGGGCTTGACTGCGTTGGGACGCGGTGTTGACTTAGTATGCTTTCCTACACCTGCCACAACATGTCTCTAAAGAGCCACATGTAACTGATCAAACCTTTCTTGTTGTCACACTGTTTTACAGTAAAAGCAGTGATATAAACAGTCCAGCAGATGGAGCTCTTTAACTCTGATCAGTAGCATATCCAGGTAGCAGAGACTTCAACATCATCAACCCTTCCAGCAGGTAGAGGCAGTTCAGCTTGTATCTTTTTGTGACAAATCATTTTGACATAGAAGCAGAAGACTCCAAGTGCCACTACTGCAGTCCAGCTGCTTCTTTTTCTGGACTCAGTTCCTTTGTAGTGATATTTCCTTCTGGTTAAGGCCAAGCTTCTGTTAGGATGATTTCAGGTTTGGTTGAGTTGGACTTTTCACACTTATCAGAAGACTTTGAATCCTTGATACATACACAGTCACACAAACATGAACACATTGGCACTGTTGGCATGGCAACAAAGCACAGTAAAACCCCTGTGAACCATCTAATGATGACTGAATATGCAGTGTCCTTCAGACGTTTTTTCTTGTTATAAAGAGTTTATCTCATTAGGAAGAGTCCTGGTTGTACAGAGGAGGTCGAGCGGTCGGACTCGCCTTTAGTCCTCCTCCTCCTCTTTTTCTTCTTCTCTCACTCTTTTCAGAGTCTCATCCTGTTAGTCTCCCATTTGGAGCAGTGCCAGGTTGCCGGCACACCAATCCTCAGCTCATCAGCCCTCCAAAATGGCTTCCAAGTAAAGTTCAGCTTGTGTTGTGATCAGGCCATCAAGACACCTGGAGGCAGAAGAAATGTGGTGGAGTTAGCACACTGGCAGAAAATCCAAAAAGTTTTTGATTCAGACACACTGTATAAGAATTATGCTTATTTCGGAGTTAAAGGGAGTTTTCAGATTGAGATTTGCTGTGAAAACAAACTTGAATACCAACAAAAGACAGAAGACAGAAAATGTGAGACTACCAAAATGATTATGTATAAATTGCTCACACACATTTTGCATCTATAGTAGTAAAGAAAAGGCTCACCAATGACAATTCTGTACTTTTTTTAGGATTATGATGCAGTTATCATGTTTATACTCAACAGAAAGAGAAAATTTATACACTTTAAAAGTTTTTCTTAGTTTGAGCTGTTTAGTCCTGATGAAAGGAAATCTCAAAGCGACAGCATACAAGGATATTAAACCAAAGAAAGCTTTTTATATGGTGGCAACACTTTGGGGAAGACTTTTTACTGTTTCAAAGCATATTGCAGATTGAGCCACAAATTTAAAGTAAAAGTTTGATATTTAGGGTTATTACTAACTTCCTTGATTTTCACGAGAAGATACCATCCTGATGTCAAAAAGCATTTGGTAGCTGTAACAAATTTGTTTTTGAATGACTTCCACAAACCAAGTATAACATGTTAATCAATGAGCTTTTCAGTGGCTGGTAGGTGGATTTTGTTACCTTTGGACAGAGCAAGGCTAGCTGTTTCCCTCTGTTTCCATTCATTATGCTAAGCTAAGCTAACCAGCTGCTGTCTGGAGCTTTATATCTACTGTGCAGACATGAGAATGGTATCAATCTGAACACTGAACTCTCAGCAAGAAAGCAAATAAGCATATTTCCCAAAAAATCAAAACTATAAAGAAATGAGACAAACATGGCTCTTCAGATTAGAAACATCTACAGATGATGCTGGTTTTCAGACTGGCAACATATCCCTGGGCTCAGAAATAAACTACAGTTTGCCAGCATATCTCAATCTCATCAAATTCTCTTTGGAAATGTTCAAGAATTTGTCTTCTACACATTTTCTCAAATGTCAGCCTGAAACATTTGGTAGTTTTTGTGGACATTTTGTCAGCAAAGACCAAAACCACAAGAGTCTGCATTACTATAAAGTAGCGTAACTTAAATGAAGGTTTAAATAAGTAGTTTGACATTTTGGAAAAAACACTTGTTTTCTTCTTCTAAGATTGAAACAAATGTTGTGTCAGTGTGTTAACTTGTTAGCTTAGCTTGGTTTAGCTTAGCTTAGCATAAAGAATGGAAGCAGGCGAAATAGCGAGCCTGGTCTTCTTAAGAAGTACACCACCACTTCTAAAGCTCACTAATCAACACATTGTATGTTGATTTAATCCGGACACAAATAGAAATGTAAAAGCAACAGTTTGTTGTAAGAGGGGAGTTATGTATTCGGACTATTCATTGACAAACAGCAGTATATCCATCTGCCCAGTACTTCTTTGTATCATCTCCAAAGTGCAAATTGCCAGATCCAGATGTTGAGGAGCTCAGGTTTTGGTTTTGGTGTCTGTAAAGACACTATGATACCAGACTGGGCAGCCTCACTGTGACAGAAAGACTTTAGGAAGCTGCTCACAGTCACAGTTTGTTCAACTCATGTAACCACAAACATACGTTTTTTTTACATTTCTGTTTGTGTACAAGTTAAACAAACAAGATACAATGTATTAACTGGTGATTTTTAGAGTTGCTGGTGGGTGTATTTATTTATTTTCTGACACTGGAAAAAGTCTTCCCCATATTTCGAATCTTAATGCTAAGCTAAGTTAACCATGTCCTGACTCTAGATCTGTACTTAACACACGGACATTAGATTGATATTGACCTGTTAACTCTATGCAATAAAACCCCAAAATGTCATACTTTTACTTTCACAGCGTTTTTCCAAGTTTTTTTTTGTTTATCTCTCTATGTGTTATTGCACCACTGTTTTCATATTTTGTATCAGTGCATCTACCCAGAATCCACTTCTCCTCCAGCTCATCCTCACCTCCACACTGTGCTTGTCCTGAAAGACACAAACACAAACTCTCTTTAGTGACTCATTCCTGTGAAACAGAATCTAGGTCACCTCAGTAAATGAGCAGTCAACTGATGATAAAACCTCTGTCCTCACCTCCTCCTGCAGTCGCTCCTGTGAGGCGTTCAGGTGCATCTGCAGCTGCTCCTTGACGGCGTCAGCGCGATGTTCC